TGAAAAAAATGCTAAAATGAGTAAATAAGAAGTTAAAATATGCAGGTAAAAAATCCGAAAAAAAAAAAGAAATCATACTGAGAAAAAGTCAGTGATAACTATGCATAACTTAACCTGGAAGGATAACTGATCATATCCACTCAGGATGGGAGAGTGAAGCCTGTACTGATGGAAGAGCCTTTCTCCTAAATAATGAAGTTTCTTTTAAATCATAGCAGAGTAAAAGTCCGCAAAAATACTCTCCCCAGCTTTTCTCGGCCTTCAAAAGATAATCGACCTGAAGGGGTATACTGTACATTTTCACCTAGAGCCTTTTTAATTGTGGAGCATTCCTCGTCTACGTCTGCATTAGGACCTCTTAACCACAAAAAAGCTTCCAATGCTTCACACGTTCGGTTCTTTCCCAATAACCAGTGAGGGGACTGGGGCATGGGAATCATCAGAATAAGGACCAATGTTGGGGGAATTGTACCAATAAAAGCCAGCCATCTCCAATGGCACAGGACGCCCACCGCCAAGGATAGCAATACTCCCAATGAGAAACCCAGGCATTTTAAATTGCATAAAGCTCCACGCACTCGGGCAGCTGCAATCTCGCCAACGTACACCTGAGGGAAGACTTATATAATTCTAACGAAAAGGAAACTTGTTCTTGTTTTAGATACCAAATAGATGGAAGTGAATCAATAATTGTTTGAATGCTGGAACCTGTGACGGATCTAACCTCCTCCCATCCAGGGAGAGTAAGAATGCTCCTGGATAATTTGTTTTCAAATAGGCTACTATGAAGAGTTTCTAAAGCTGACCTTTCGAACGCTAGCCCTACGTCATTAGGGACCTTAAGTAGTCAGGACGGCAACGCCAAGGATGACGTCGATTGAAAAATGAATTTCTACTTTTAATTAGAATTTCGAAAATGGCTGCATGTGTTTACCCTCTCATACGGCGCCACACCTCAGCTTCAGCATGACGTATAAAAGTAGCGTCGAGTTCCAAATGGAAATCAAAATAATTTGCCGTTGTGGATTCCGTTCGCAGACCACGCAAATTTTGGTGATTGCACGTTGTTGTTTTGCAAAGGACGTCTACGAAATGTACAAACTTTTAAAACGCACGTGCTGAGCTACTGTTCTGCCAATTAGATCTTTTGTTTTTTTCCGTCCTCGTTGCCGTCGCCGTAGTGATTTGATTAAGGTCCCTATTCGCTCTAACGAACGGCTAACTATTGAGACTGTGACGTGAACTGTAAAAACTCTTCACGGTGGCCAGTTTACAAGATAGAACTGTTGTTAAAACCAAATTATCTTTCATTACCACCCACCGACGCAGCACCACAGTTTATTCAGAAACTTACCCCCTTCACGAATATTCCTAGCCACTTAATCCGCGACATCTGGAACAAACTCCTTTTCGCTTTTCATTCCACTAATTTATTCATGTTTTTCTCGTTGCCATGTTCCCACCAATGACGTAGCTCCATTTTCTTCCTTTAAAAGCACACACAACCCACAATTCCTTTAGTGTGGGCGAATTGGCTTAAGTGCTGACCTCACCTTACCCTTTGCTTACATGAACAGCAAGCAATTAGCAATTCAGACTACGTTCACACGAGACATTCAATGAAAAAAGCATCCTGATACAATCTCAACATGTGGACAGTGAAACTTACTAGGGTTCTCCGAAAAGAACCTGTCGTACGCCAGATAAGAAAAACCACTACAAAGCTTCTCTTTAGATGTGGCCAAAAAATATGCGAAAACATTTTTCTTATCTAGGACAATACCGTTGGAGTAAACTAACCTGTTTACACTACTAATCACGAAGAAAATAAATCAATGATTGTAATGATGTTTTACAGACTTTACAGGGACTCCTCGGACAAAAATTACAACAAATACAAAAAAAAGAGAAAGTGATCAAGCATACGTTTGACCGACCTACAACAATTTAACTTTCCCACGAAACATTGAAATAACCCGAAAATTCCATGATGCCACGCGAACCTCTTCAAAATGCAACCAGAATATCAATTTCTGACTAATTCATTCCCATGTCACTCAAACGTCAGATATTACATCTTCCGACCACTTACCGAACTAGTGAAGGAGGCAGCACCACATGCCACACCTGTGATTGATCTACCAGCGTAGAGCATGGCAACATTCCTAGCATAACTGATTAGAAGCCATCCTAACACAAAAGGTATGGCGCATAACATCATCGTACCCTTTCGACCAAACTTGTTAATCGCCCATCCAATAAAAGGAAATCCAATCATCATTCCAAAACAAATCATGGACTGCAAAAAAGGTGAATATTTCATCAGCCAGGAGGCCTTTATAGCAAAAAAAACGCTCTACACTGGACACCTGGAGAGAAACGGGAGAGGGACCCC